GCATTATAAATTAAACATCTATTATACTTTCACACATTAAATAACATAGTTTGTTAATAGGTTATGGTCAAAGGTCACAAGTGCCTTAATAGGGAGGAATTTGGATCTCGCTACGGATGAAAAAACGATAATTGAGGACAATCAGCGTAATGAAGCCAAACTTCGAGAAGCTGAAGGTATTGATTGGAGATCGAGATATTTTTTGCATGAAAATGACGAATTTAACTTCAAACAAACCCAGTACGTAATTTTTGTTTATTTTGTTTACCAACAGTATAATGATTTATATTTCTGATCTCCATTTCTACAGTCTTTCAAAAGATCCTCAAATTGCAAAACACCAAATCGAGTCTTTTATTTTCTCTTCAAATTCACCATCGGCATTTGCGTCTCTGGCCGATAATAAAAAAATCGGCTAATCAAGTTTTCGGTTTAGCCGGTCGTTTTTTTTTCAAAATCAGTTGATCGACTTTTATACTGAAAAAAATAGAAAACGTAAAACTTAATACTTTTAAAGTGATATTAATTTAAATTTATTCGTAATCACACTGCAGTTAAAACGAATAATATAAAAATTTCAGTGATTCATAATAACGTTTAGTAAAATAATGTATTGCGGGGGAATATTGCTGCGAAACTTTTTCGTCTGCAATTTATAATACACCACAGGAAATTGGAATTAAATGTGCATATATATCTTTTTTTTTTTGGGTATAAAATTATTGCTACTTATCATTTTTTTTGTTGGTTATAAAATTATTGCTATTTTAGAAAAGTAAATTTTTTTTTTTTAAAAAAAAAAAATTAAACTCATTTTCGCACTGCCTAATCATATAAACAAAATATATATAGGTTATATATGGCGGTAAACCCGGGAAATCATGTAAAATTGCTTCTATTTCTAGGGGTATTGTTCGTTGGAGTGAACTCGTTTTACAATAAAGCTTAGAATTATATATGCAGTAATTTAAAGTTTAAATATTAATACAATAATAAACAAAGTTTGGTGTTTCCGGTCGTTATGTTCTAAAAACATTATTAATTCGAGTATAGTGCGGACAAAATACTAAATTTTGATTGGTTAATATTTTATAATTTTATTATGTTTTTAATTTTTTTATGAAATAATTTAGATTTAACCAGAGGTGAAATTCACCAGCCTAAGAATTTTTAGGGTTAGGGTGCAGTTTTAAGAT